CATGCTGGCCATCACGTGAGGGTGATGTAGCCAAGTGCACAACAAAAGTGATAATGATAAGAAAAATGTGAATAAATGAAAACCAAAACTAAACTTATTTAACTAGAGATACTATGTAAGTATGTGAAGGTGATCAATTATAAGATACACCCATATCAGAGCATAGGTAAAAAGAAAGTGTAGTCAAACTAACTAAGTACTAATTATACAAACCGGGAGAACATCCCTACTTTTATTTATGCAACCGTCAGAACCGCCGTGTAGCTCTCGTGAGCCACCAAAGATGATCAGCTACCTAGAACCTAGAGGGGCGCAAAACAGAAGGGTGAGTGGGCAAAAACAAAGCGTTGAAAAACATATTTAGCTTTATGAACATAATAACCTCTCTCCGTAAAACCATATAGTTTCCAAAATATACTACTACATAGGTACGAAAAATCAAGGCACAAGGCCAATGAAAACTAAAGTATGCCATGTCATAATATTTCGGCACTAACAGATGTAAGCCAGGAGTGAAACCAATATAAAGTAGTATGCCAGTCAAAGTCACCTAACGTGATCAATACGACTGGGCCTATAGCTCATCAACATATGTCTGCGCAAGAGTCAGAGTCACCTATTGTGACCTGTACGATAGGCTGAGTACGCTCAAGTGCTAAGATCAAGTGAAAGCTGTGTGATAAATCGCGGGTCACCTACAAGTCGGAACCACCTATTGTGGTTTGTACGACAGGCTAGCACCAAAACTTGGATCCAAGGTGAGCGTGCGGTGCAGGAGGTGAACAATCACGTGAAAGTTGTGCCCTGGCCTCGGGCAGGAGCACTAACATCGGGGTGCAGCATAATAAGCTCTAAATGCATAAATGCATAGCAACATGCAATGCAACATGACCAATCACATGCTAACTCACCTAAAGCTTACCTGAGCCTCCGCAACATCAAATAGTATAATTCACAATTCATACTAATGCAACAATATAGTAATAAGCGGTACAGAGATGGCATACAAGGCATAAATTCATTTAAAAATGTTTTTTGGAAATCATAATATATATATATATATATATATATATATATATATATAGAGAGAGAGAGAGAGAGAGAGAGAAAACAAATGCCCACTCACTGATAAGTAGCAAGATCGTAGGCCCCTTGCTTCGCTTGTCCATGCTCGTCCTCTGGATACGTCTCACCTATATGTGATACAACTATTTTAATGTTAATTCGATAGCACATAAACAAAGCCTAGGATTAAGTCCTCATACATTGCTCAAATGGGATGTTTGAATATACCAACGTGATATGCCTGGCACACAAGACAGAAACCCTAACGCCGTTAGGGATATTCCGTTAAAATAGCAAAATATTCCGTTAAATTCTAACGATGTTACTTGACTCCATTAGGATATTCCGTCAACTTTGACAGAATATTCTTCTTCTTCTCCGGTGGACCTAGTCAGACTTCGCCGTCCACCGCCGTCTGGTTCGCTGGTTTCTGGAAATTTTTCAAAGCTTAATATCTACTTCATTTCTCAACCAAAATCCATGAAATCTATATGAATTTGAAGGTCTTGAAGAGTAGAACACATTCGTAATATTAGAAGTCCAAAATCCAACGAAAGATGGTCGGAAAATCCCTCGACAGCTCCGGCCAAAACTGGAGTTCCTCGAAACCGTGTGATCCAACGTTAATGCAACCTCAAACCGACACTAGAGTGCTAGGGAAGTTGTGTGGGAACCTTTCCAAGTCCTAAAACCTCTTAATCTTAATGGGATCACGTCAAAGAAACTTTGCTCTTTGTCAGATTTCACGAGTTAACGGGTTGCAGCTCACCAACTCGGAAATTAAGGGTACCACTAGGTTCGTGAAGTTGAAAGGATAGTGATGGTGGTGATTTTCTATTCGATCCGTGTTGATTCGAGGTGTAAGTGAGCTGGGGGTGTCTCGGGTGCAAGAAGAAGAAGGAAAAGGAAGTCTCAAGAAGGAGAGAGAGAAGGAAAAGTGAGTGTGTGTGTGTGTGTGTGTGTGTGTGTGTGTGTGTGTGTGTGTGTGTGTGTGTGTTCTGATTGGCGAAGAGAGAGAGAGCTAATTTTATTTGGCCCAAAAGAATAAAAATAAATTATCTGACTAGGCTAAAAGAAATAGGAGCTCATATAATTGGTCCACAATTTGCCCATTTACACACCTAAATAATCGTAACTTTTTCGTTACAAATCCGATTCAGCCCTAACTAGCGTCGACGTGCTCTTGACATCAAGTACAATTTAATTATGACGACGGGGAAATAATTTAAATCTACGTATGTACATCTACGTCACTAAACCAACGAGGGCAATATCGTTACTTTAAACACTAGGGGAGAAAATATATATATAATAATTTGGGATGGATCACAATTGGAATAGATAAGTTTATTCTTGAGTTCATCTCCTACCTCTAAGTTGGTCACAATTTTTTATTTCTTCTTTAAACATACCTTAAAAATAGTGTCTTATCCATTCTAATACAGTCATATATACCAAACAAGCCCTAAGTAACAAGAACTTATATTGGCATTTCAAAATGTTTCATACTACACTCCTATGTTATTAAAGTATAAAAGAGAAAGGACAACTACACACATTTTTTCTCTTTTACACACGTCTTTATATTTGACATTCAGATTGAATAATTAAATGGAAACAACGAACAAGATTTAACATAAGTGAGTAAGAGAGGATGTGTGGTTATCATTTCTCCTTGTATACCATAACATTATGATACTTTCATGAACGTTGCCCGATATAACTTTGATAATACAATTTAAAATTAAATTGTTTTTTTTTTTTTTTGAATTAGATATACAAATTCGTATAGGTGACTTTTTGTTGAATAATTATAGATTGCTGTTTTGTTTTGAACAACTTATTATAAAATACTGTTTTGTGTTTGAATTTGATCAACTTCAGTATATGTCATACTCACAAATATATCTAGAAATGTAATTAATAAATATTGCGTGCATGCCTTCTCTTTTCTAAAAATAGCTAAAGGAAGGGAAAAAGTCAAGAGAGGCATGCATATATCCATTTTGTAATAGTTTGAATGAAGTCAATTTTGCTCCATGCACATCGACAAAAATGAACTCCAAGTGGGAGGAAAGGATGGTTTACTTTTCCTTGTGTTCAACTCAACTACTCCCATGCTGAGCTTGAGCCAGTTGATAATTTCCCTCTTTTTCTGAACGATAATTTGGTTTTTTGCTTTCGTTTTCAATAAGTTGATATATAGTGTAATGATCAAGAAAGCAAAATGATTGACTAAATCCTTTGACAGCCCAAAAAATCATTGTTCGTACACGGCCAGTCCCCCCCCCCCCCCCAAAAAAAAAAAAAAAAAAAACCTTGTTGATTTTTGCCAACGAAACATTCATCGGATAAGCTTTATAAACTAAAAAATATATAAATTTAAAAACTTAACCCGACGATTTATTTTGTCTGGCAAAGTGTAATTATTATTAAAAATTATATTAAAACATGTTTACATTTAATTAATTAATTTTTATTACATTAATCTCATTATATTAAACAAATTTATTTCATCAATAAAACCACAATGTTCGTACAATTATATTGAAATCGAAAAGAAATTTATTCTCAATGGGAAACTACTTCACTCATTCAACTGCTTAACCCTGAAAAACGTCCATTTCCATAATTTATAAATTCTAAAACTAACCATAGAGCCAGTGTTACTCGTCCATCCTATGCTTAAATTCAGTGGGCGGATATGTCAAAGCTTCTTCATGACTTTCAAAGGGTTGTGCAACTTGTACTTCCACTCCCTGAACCAATAATTTAACAATCGGGTTATGTAATCTGACAAACCCAGCTTTGGCATGTCGATCTCGAAGTTATTTGAAAAGAAAAAAAAAAGTGTTAGTTATACAAATACATTATGTAAGATCCCACATCGACCAACGGAGAGAGGGTGATGTGCCTTATATGTACATGCTCCCCTCCCTGTAACACGAGGCCTTTTGGGAACTTACTGGCTCCGGATCCCATAAGATCTCCGAAGTTAAGCGAGTTTGGGCGAGAGCAGTCCTAGGATGGGTGACCCCCCTTGGAAGTTCTCATGACGAAACCCAAAAACAAAACCGTGAGGGATGGTAAGCCCAGAGCGGACAATATTGTGCTACGGCAGAGTCAAGCTAGAATGTGACAATTTGGTATCAGAGCCATTCTGCTGTTTGATGCAGATGTGCCAGCGAGGATGTCGGGTTCCCCTTAAGTGGGGTGGATTGTAAGATCCCACATTGACCAACGGAGAGGGGGTAATGTGCCTTATATGTACATGCTCCCCTCCCTATAGCACCAAGCCTTTTGGGAACTCACTGACTTCGAATCCCATAAGATCTCCAAAGTTAAGCGAGTTTGGGCAAGAGCAGTCCTAGGATGGGTGACCCCTTGGGAAGTTCTTGTGCTGAAACTCAAAAACAAATCCGTGAGGGCGTGGCCTAAAACGAACAATATCGTGCTACAACGAAGTCGAGCAGGGATGTGACAATTTGGTATTAGAGTCACTATGTCATTCGGTGCAGATGTGTCAGCGAGGACGCTGGGTTCTCCTTAAGTGGGGTGGATTGTAAGATCCCACATTGACCAACGGAGAGATGGTGATGTGCCTTTTAGGTACATACTCCTCTCCTTATAGCACCAAGCCTTTTGGGAACTCACTGGCTCCGGATCCCATAAGATCTTCAAAGTTAAGCGAGTTTGGGCGAAAGTAGTCATAGGATGGGTGACCCCCTGGGAAGTTCTCATGCCAAAACCCAAAAACAAAACTGTGAGGGATTGGTAAGCTCAAAGCTGACAATATCATGCTACGGCAGAGTCGAGCTGGGATGTGACAATTTGGTATCAGAGCCACTATGTCATTCGGTGCGAATGTGCCGACAAGGACGCCAGTTCCCCTTAAGTGGGGTGGATTGTAAGATCCCACATTGACCAACGGAGAGATGGTGATGTGCCTTTTAGGTACATACTCCTCTCCTTATAGCACCAAGCATTTTGGGAACTCACTGGCTCCGGATCCTATAGGTAGCGTTTGGTACGCGGGACGGGACGGAACGGAGTGGGACGAGACGTTCCGTCCCACGTTTGGTGAGCCTAAAATGGGTGGAACATGCTGTTCCACGGGACAAGTTTTGGGTGATTTTTGGTTCCACCTCTCCCCCCTGGAACGACTTGTTCCACGTTCGTGGGACACAAATTTATAACATTTTAAGACAAAAATACCCCTCGTCTTTTTCAATATTTACACCATCCAAATCCTAAATCCATTCTCTGTTGCTACTCTCTCTTCCCGTAGACTTCCTCCTCATCCTTCTTCTTCATCCTCTCCCATAGCCGTCGACTTCACCCAGCCAGCACGCAGCAGCACGGAGCCACTACCGTCGCACTGCAGATTGACCCAAGTATGCGATTAATGTCTTTTGTTGCTGATTTGGGTTGTGTTAATTACGGGGTTTTGTTAATTATCAGATTTGATTTGTTAATTACTGGGTTTTGTTAAGATTTGTGCAACTGGGAGTGCGAGTGCATTCTTCGCTGGGTTTTAGGTTGGACGGGCCATGCTAGGGTTTAGGCAATGAAAACCGTGGATGGGGTTTGGGCGGAAACAAGGTTGTTTTTCTGCTAGGGATTTTGGGGCGATTGATGGTGATGATATCCATGGATTTTCAGAAGAAATTGATGAATAAATAATATTATTAATTAGGTTCTTGAAAAAAAAATGGAAAAAAAAAAACAAGAAAGAAATGGATTGAAAGTTACTATGATTGTATTGGGTTTTGATTGAAATAATTGAGATGTTGATCTTAATTAGGTGGAGGTTCAAGTGGGGAAGTTGTATTGTGTGAGTAAGGCTGCTGTTTTACCTATTAACATTGAGGATGCTGCTCGGAGTGATGTCGAAATCGAAAAGGCTTTGCAGGTACATTTGGATGATTTATTTTGAAATGGATTATTGAAGCTTTGTTAAGCTTTCTGGGACTTTCTCTCTTAGTACATGTATATTCGTTGGGTGGTATGATGGGTTTATAGGCCGGAGAAACACTTGTTCGAGTTAATCAGGATACCTGCTTGAATAACCGAGTTCTTGATTTGCGAACACCTGTGAATCAGGGGATATTCCGCATTCAGAGTCAAGTTGGCAATGTAAGTAGTCTTTCCACCATTTGCAGTATTTATCTTTTTAAAGCTAGAGAAAATCGTTAAGAGTTTAGTTCTGTATGTCGGTTGCATTGTTGTGTAGAGCTTTGGGCAGTTCTTGATATCCGAAGGCTCTTTGCCAAAGCTGATTGCTGGTTCAAGTGAAGGTGGAGCTGCTGTTTTTAGACTCAACTACAAGGGTCAAGATGCCTGCCTTGCCCAGTCACCTCAGCTTCACAAGCAAATGGCTATACGTGGTGGCTTCGGTCGTATTTTTGAGATTGGTCCTGTTTTTAGAGCTGAGGACTCCTTTACCCATAGGCATTTGTGTGAGTTCACTGGCCTTGATGTTGAGATGGAGATCAAGAGGCACTACTTTGAGGTAGAATTAGTAATTTTTTAGGCATTTGTTTACCTTTACCGCCCTATATGACGATGTATGTTAACTTATGGTGCAATTATATACTTGTTTGTTCTGGTCATGCATGATCATTAAACTTATATATTTTTCAACATTGCATGGCAACCATGACCATATAGACAGAACCAGCCATCTCATTCATGCTAACCATCTCATCACTTCCAATATTTACTGGCTCAAAGAAGTCTGACTTCATCAACCTAAATCATAGAAGAATTACAAATTTTAAAGGGGTTTGCAAGTGGAACACAACATATACCTAATAAAATTTGGACCAAGAAAAACAAATAATGGATAAGCATATAGTGTTAAAATTTGAACAAGTTAAAAAAAAAAAAAAAAAAAAAAAAAAAAAAGTCTCATCCCGTTCCACGCATAAATATTGTATCAAACAACAAACGGAACATGGGTATTTTAGTCATTTTCATCTTTTGGTTCCGTTCCGTCCATGCGCTACCAAACGCAGAACGGAACAATCGTCCCGTTCCGTCTTGCACGTACCAAACATAACATAGAACATCCGTTCTGTCCCGTCCCGTTCCATCCCGTCCTGTCCCGTCCCGTCCCGTCCCGTCTGCGTACCAAACGGTACCATAAGATCTTCGAAGTTAAGCGAGTCTGGGCGGAAGCAGTTCTAGGATGGGTGACCTCACTGGGAAGTTCTCGTGCCGAAACCCAAAAACAAATCCGTGAGGGCGTTGTCCAAAGTGGATAATATCGTGCTACGACAGAGTCAAGCTGAGATCTGACAATTTGGTATCAAAGTCACTCTACCATTCGGTGCGGATGTGCCAACGGGGACGCTAGGTTCCCCTTAAGTGTGGTGGATTGTAAGATCCCACATCGACCAACGGAGAGGGGGTGATGTGCCTTATATGTACATGCTCCCCTCCTTATAGCACTAGGCTTTTTGGAAACTCACTGGCTCTGGATCCCATAAGATCTCCAAAGTTAAGCGAGTTTGTGCAAGAGCAGTCCTAGGATGAGTGACCCCCCCTGGGAGGTTCTCGTGCCAAAACCCAAAAACAAATCCGTGAGGATGTGACCCAAAGCGAACAATATCGTGCTATGGCGGAGTTAAACTGGGTTGTGACACATTAAGTAATTATCTAGGATAATTAAATTATTAGAAATATTAAACTAAAAAAAAACACATGTATTGATAACTCTGCCATCAGCGCCTACTTCACTTCGGAGGGGATATTCCTCCTTCTATCTATAGTCATGGGGCACCTCATGCGGATGAGGGCTCCTATCAAGTGATTCAATATTGCATGAACTGATACACATATGTTCTTTAGTTGTATTCAACATTCATTCTTTCGTCATCCCTTATGCGGTAGTCATCGAGCGATCTAGGCACCTATGGAAAAAAAATTGTAAACATTATTATATTTTATACTAATTTATAATATATCTAAAAATTATAATTTAATATTTTCTAAAAGTTTGTATTAGTCCTTCCAACTAAGTATGGCAATTCAAACTGTTAAACTCGATAACAGTATATAACCACCTAAACAGATTTGAGGATGAGAATTCGGTTATATTTAGGATTGAGGAAAACCATAAATATTATTCGATTATTGTTTAGGATATGGTTATAAGGGTCCCCGATCTATGTTCATTCCGTATTTGACCCCAATAGTACATATTATAGATATAATATAATTTATATAACGAATATAGTGTGTGTGTGTGTGCGCGCATGCGCATGTGTGTGTGTGTTTTGGACTTTTAAAGTTTAGGTAGGTAGATACTAATGTATTGACAACTTTGTATATAAATACAGAGTTAGTATTAATGTTTTTCATTTTATTATTTATTGAAGTACAATATACTTTCTTTAACGGGTAATGGATTGTTTCATACTACCCGTTAAATTTAACAGATCAAGTTCGGATCAGGTAGCAAGTTCCTAGTGACGAATGAGGACCCGTGTCGCCTCCACGTTTTCCATATAGTCACAGAACATCATTGCATTTACACAGGAGTATGCTGAACATCCTCGTCCAAATCGAGAAGTTGCGATAACGTGCCGCACATCAAAATCATGGAACATCTATTTTAGAAGATTGTAACGGTAAAATTTATACAAATAAATAACGAAGAGAAAAATTCAAAAGACCCAAAAAAAAAAAAAAAACACACACATTGCAGGGAAACACGAAGATCGTGATGATGTGAAGCAGTAGAGCGAAATGCCATTTGCAATAACACTCGGACGGCTTGCAGATTCACGGAAACCCGTCAATATAGTATTCCAATTTAGTCAATCCACATCCCGCTCCGAGAGAGACAAGGAGAGCCGTCGCTACCTAAAAGAGTAAAAGACTAATAGAGTAAATGCTGAACCTTTGAGCTTGGTTGGAAATGTTAACAAATCACGTCACTTAAGCCTTGAGGTGCACTTTATTGTAGTGATCTGCAGCTTTGGACAATGACTGTATTGAAACCGGGAATCCTGGACCCATCTGCACATAATGATGGACTGGTTAGTTTCAATTTTACAAGACCGCATTTAACCAAAGTATACAAAAACAAGGGTTAAGAGCTCACCGTGCTACATATATGGAACGAGTTAATATACCCCGCATATTTGGAAGCTGTGAAAAATGAAAATTGTGAATGATTTTAATAAACGTGAAAAGAATACGTACATATTTAAGCAAAAGAAAAAGTCCAATCCGATGCTCAGTGAAAAGCTTGCAACAAAAATTCTCATCAATTCATTAAAAGTGCACAATCTAGTAAACAGAGGGACGTCCTTCCACAACGATTATTTGCAGTGTCCTAAACATCTCTTCAATTTTCTTCTTAATGATACATAGGTGGGCATAACGGAAAATATTATATACAGCTAACACATTGAGCTAATTATCTTCCATCCAGGATTTCACAGAATATGCTATAATTAGATTTAACCAAGATCATAACTGTACCCTGGAGTTAACACTGCAATTGCTTGTGCAGAATGTATAGGTTAACGGTTGAGCTAAGCCAAACTGAGCTCTAAGATTTTCTAGATTGAATAGGGAAGTTATGTGGATTCAAGTGGCTCAGAGGCTTAACCTAGCCGAACAAAGTTGAGCTCAGGTCTGGCTCAGCGGTGGGCGACAGATATAAGGCCATTCTCAGCTTGGCCTTAAAAGAAACGACTATAATACTACAAGGTGCTTCATGCGATCAAAGGGTGACAAACAAATTTTACCACATAACCATGAAGGTGGGTCAAAGACTCAAATGCAACACAAAGATTTGTTATGCATAGTAGAGTTAATAAAACACAATTATGCAGAGTCATGCACCTGCACTTCATTTATGGAAATTGATCATTTACAACTCCTAGCAAAGTATTGCGCTTTCAACAACTTAGGTCATCAACGACATATATCAAAGCTAACACGACACCGAGAATATAGGAAACACACGAGTCATTTGCTTAGTTTAGCCCAAAAACAACAATATAGGAAACACACGAGACATTTGCGCCACTTACACTTTTTTAAACCTGTAGGCTTAGCCAGCAAAAGAGAACTCATAAATGCACCAATGTTCTCTTGCAGATACTCCTCCGTGAAGCTCACCTGAAAAGAAAGAAAGAAAGTGATATCCATGTCTCCAGCAAACATTTGAAGAAATGAAAACATTGTGTTTGTAATTATGGTACCTTTCCAAGTCCCACATGTACAATTGATGTTCTGTCCATTCTATACTCAATATGACCTTGTCTTACCTTCTGCAGTGCTCCAGTAATGTCATTGGTGACAGTACCTAGCTATACGATACATAGTATAACAAAAATTAGTAATTTTCCCATAGATCTGCAAACTGAATAAAAATTATAACAATATAAACTCACTTTACGGTCAGGCATCAAACCACGCTCTCTAAGAATTCTTGCAATCTGTTAAACATCAAACATCCACTTTTGATTAAAAACACAATAAAGTTGACTAATCCCACAAGTAAAGAATTACAACTCAAAAACCTTTGCCAGGCGCATAATCATTTCATTTGTAGCAAAACACTTGTCAACATTGAGCTTATGACTGCCTGCATGATAAAAGGCAGACGATAAATTGTTTGATTTCTTTGAACTCAATCAATGCAAGATTCACATAAACCCATATAAACACAAATTTAAAATACAAACTTCATTTTTTTTCTTTTTTTCTTTTTTTTTTTTTTTTATTTTTTTATTTTTTGCAAAACCACAACTCAAAAAAGTTAGAATGGCAATATCATTGCATAGTATATCTGGTGGACAGGAGTTTCTTTTTCAGCATATTATTTAGTAGCAACAATGGTTAGCTCATTACTTGCAATTTCCTCAACCAGTTCAACACCGCCAACAATATCTGCTCCTGCAGCTCTAGCTTCTTCTGCATCTGAGCCTTCAGCAAAGAAAGCAACCCTGACAACCTGAAAAATGACATAATACAGTAACCAACTAGAAAGTTGATGAGAAAGATTGATTTACCAAAGTAAAGATAACTACCTTCCCACTACCATGCGGCAAAGTCATGTTACCACGAACCGCCTGCACTTCAATCAGGTAGTCCATGTAAATTGAATCTTTTAAACAGGAGTTTGGAATATTAAAAATAATTGTGCCATAAGAAATTTGAAGCACAAAGTAGAAAGCAGAAACAATATCTTCTTTATCACTCTTTTGAGAAGCATTCCATGACAACCCTACTGAAAACATGCAATTACTACGCTAAAATGAGCAACGTTATGATCACAAAGTACAGTAAAAAAAGTGACAATATTTCTCAGTCAAGGCTAACCATATTTGGGTGCATGGAAGGTGTGCATTGATAATTCTTCAAACAACAAATACAAGGAACTTACAAATAATGGTTACAGCTTAGTCACGTAATAACTTTTTTCAAAGAATAACATCTGGAGTCCAAACCATTGAGTTGATTCAAATCCTGAAATGCCAATGAAACATCTTGGGTCCAACCTTTATAAACATTTGTTAATATTTCCTTTACGTCATTGTTTCAAGAATTCTGCCCTACAGTTAATACCCAACAGCCATCTCACACTCACTCACACAAATGATTTCACCTTATTCAAAACGGACACGACTAGCTAGAAACACATGTGGGCAATCGTTTAAATCTAGATGTTGTTGGACTGTGAAATGAAATGAAAATCTAAACTCAGGACTTGCTATTATATATTCACATATCTAAAGTAAAAGTCAACATATCTATATTGACACACAAAAACATATGCTTGAGATAAGAGAAGATTTTACTCAGATGAGTTGACAAATTACATTTCGCTTCGCATCAATACCCAATTGTACATGAGCTTCAACAGTTTCATCAAATTTGCACTGGGCATTAGCCTGTAAAACAACTAACCATGTGAAAAAGAGATTAGAAATGAGAAATACTTTGAAATAAAACATAACACTTCTAAGTAAACAATAACAAAACAAAGTCCTTTCGGGGGGCATCCAACTATATTAAAAGAGCAAGAACACCGGTTAGCGCAATATGCATGTGAAAAACAAGCATGATCTCTATATGCTCCTACTTAACTTAGTCTTAAAACTCGATCACAATCACAGCTCGTAAGATAAATTTAAAAAGATAAACTTCATTTTGCTTATTAATAACCTACATTTTGTTCTGCCAATCAACACATTACTACCTTTTAATCTCTGAGAAACAAAATCAAAACAGAGAAGGAAAGCGCATTGCAACCAAGCCAAATAAACAGTATATTAGTTCGATTAAGTAGAAGTAATTTGATATCCCAAATCCAAAATTATCTAACAAAACAGTAAAACTTAAATTCCTTTAACTTTCCCACATTTCTCAGCAACCAAACAGCAATCAGTTTATCAGAGAGAGGAAACGTTACACTGACCTTGACTTGGCGAATTGCGTCCATGACCTCGAGAATAGATTTGCTCTCCTTCTTCTCAACCTTAATCAACGCGGGAAAAGGAACCACCACCTCCTCCTCAGGAACCCTAAAAAGCCTCCTCCTCATCCGACCATCGGCCTCGATCCTCCTCTTCTCTCCCTCCAAGTCCTTCACGCCATCCACATCCTTTTCAGCTCCGCCTTCGCCACCTCCGCTCTCCTCCGCGACCCTATCTTCCGGTAAGGGAGCAACTTTCACCGGGTACGATACCGGAGATATAGATGGAACATCCCTGATGAAACGCGCCTCTTCACGGGTCCAGGTGGCGCGAGTGTCCTGACTCGATGAGTTGGGCGAGTCACCGGGGCTTTGTGGAGGCGGCGGTAATGTTGGTGCTGCTTGGGGAGTCGCATCTGGATCGGGTAGGGATTGCTCTTTGGGTTTGAGAGTGTAAGAAACGGGTTCGACCGGCACGGGTTGGCGTCTAGGAGGCTGCGGAGGGTTCTGATTCGGGTTTGGGTCGGATTCGGAGCTTAGGGATCTGTGGTAGCTTAGAAATGGAGATGGGTGGAGACGGGAGTGAGGGTTTGAGAGGCAGTGACGGCGAGCGGAGGAGAGGAGGAGCTTCAGGGCGGCCATGGAAAGGGTTTACGAGGTTTAAGCCTTAAGCCAAACACCGTTTTCTTCAGAAAAATGTGCCCCGCTTTCAGTTTGGACGAGTAAGCTGTAACCAGTAAGTACAACCCAAAAATCAAAAAATGGTTAATTGCATTTTTCATTTATTTATTTATTTTTATTTATATAACGACATACTCAGTAACTAAACTAGTTGCGAATTTTCTATTTTTAAGAATCGAATATAAGAGCTATTCAGTACTACAGTCTAGCAGTATTTTTTTTATTTAAAAGTGAGATGTTTTAAGTTCAAACTCATGGATGACGAATTTGATACTAAATTAGATTGTTCATTGTATGATGAGTTAAACTCCCCCTCCTTCTAGTGTAAAAATTTCGATGTATTAAAAAAAAAAAAAATGATTCAAACATAAGATGGAATAATAATGGACTAGCGTTCAAATGCAAGTTTTAACCACATTATTGGTAACTCATTCTCATTATGAGACTAAACTCACATCCTCCTTCTTAATGTACATAATATCGCTTGTTCAAAAAAGAGAATGGACTAACGGTCAAGATTAATAAGATGTTTATGAATCAATAACATCCGCAGAGACGTGTAAAAAATGTTTATAACATACACTTCGAATAAATTATTTGACGCCGATTTTTTCAAAGATGAAAAAACAAGTTTTTTGAATTATTTAAAAATATGAAGAAAAAAAAACTGAGGTGGTGTACGCCCACTTTAATTTTTGAGGTTAAATTTATAGATTTGAAAAAAACAATTGCCAAGAAAACAATCCTTGTTGTGGCTTATTTTAATCTGACAAGAGAAAGGGAGGTACAGACAAAGATTAGAGAGATATATGTGAAGGAAGATTTGTGAAAAACAAGTTCATTTGAGCAACATCAACAACATGCAATTAACAATTAAAAGGCGGAATCATGTTTATATGCACTCAAAAACAAAACTTAACCCATGAACTTCAAAGCCTAGTAGATAGGTGAACCAAGACTCAACTCAAAACAAAGTGAGTTGAGAAATCAATACCTTTGTAGATTCCTCTTTGCATAAGCAAAGGCTAATCACCCAAAGAGAGGGCCTTCATTCTTTGCATCTTAGATCCATGGATTTGGATGAATGAAAAGGTTTCTCCAAGTTCCCAAAATTGAGAACCTCTAAGTCTCCACACCAAGGCATATTGTAGAAGAAATGAGTGACCTTGAGGAAGTAAGATTGCTAGATGTTTTCCTCAAGGTGGCCGGCCATTCCTAGAGAGAAAGGAGAGTTTGTGTTCTCATCCTTACTCCTTAGAAAACCCTAATGATGAAATGGCTATAAAGATGTCTTTATACCACCTCACAATGGAGTGGCAAACTTGCAATTAAGCCAAGTTCACTACCCTCCTCTAAATGGCCGGCCTAAGGGGATTTATTGGGCTATTTGGGTCTTTGTGAATCATTATTCATTAAGTTGTCATACAACTTAAGTCAATGGACTTGACGTTCGAAGCCTATTGGGCCTTAAGGTCCAAAACTATCCCGAGGTCTTTAACGAATTTATTCGTTTGATTAATTAACATATTAATTAATCCTTGCCATAAATAATTAAACCATTTAATTATTCTTACTCATCTCCGTTGAATATTCAATCTCTACTTTACACGGTGTACGATCCATTAGATTCCTTTTAGCGAGGCAGTGGGCGATTCAAACTCTTTCAAATCGATTGTGAATTGAAACTTACTTTCAATTCTCCCGTTAGTGATAATACACTTTTAGGGCTTCCACAAACCATGGTTGACGCCTAGCAGCATGTCATGGTTACCCAAGCTAATCAGAAGAGGTGGAGAACCTATTCAGTTTTAGGATTATAAATGCAATACGGTCTTTCTCTAATACTATACTCTTGACCACATTGTTTGGTTTGATAGTTTATTCATGTCTACTATCCAATGTGAGTCTTGTGCTTATATGATTACCTTGAATGTGATTTGGAACACATTCCTAAATCTCATTCATACTTTGGCCAAAGATTCTTAATCATATCATAGAGTATTCTCCCTCAAACAGTTTGAAGGTTAGAGATCCCTTGTTGCGCATTCACTTGCCTCCATGGCTAAGTGGCTTAACCCCAACGATGCCATGGACACCCTCCTGATGGAGTGACTTTGACATAATCCAAGATTAAGGACCTAATCACAAGACAACTGTGATGCCTCAGGTCAAAAGACTAATTTGCATTATCCCAACCATGAGTTCTCATGTGACATGAATATGAGAACTCTTCGTTGATCGTGTTCAGTGAACTCATTCTCTATTGAGCACCTACGTACTTGTCTTGATGTCACACACACCAATGACTCGAGACTAGTCACTCTCCCTGAGAGAAGACATAGCACGTACTGATCTTAACGGACTGTCAATGCCCAATTGACAATCCTATGATCAGGAACGTTTAGGATGTGTCAACGAAAGAATGGTCTCATGAATCTAACTTCTTTAGATCGCATTCTTCCAATCACATATTCCTTGGACTTATCGTTTAAGCATATAACATTTATATGAGACGGCTCAAACAATAATCTTTGCCCTTTACATTTAAACTACATTAGTTTGAAATGTCCGTAAAGTATCATCATATGATTGGTTTTAGGGCACATTTCCAACAATATGTTTGTAGGGTTGTGTAAGAAATGTGTTTGTAGGATTGTGTAGAGAATGGATTCAAAAATGATGAAACATTCATAATATCAAAATTTTCAAATAAATTCGGTTCTTTTTGTTTGAGATATATTATTATTTTTTTGAGATAGATTATTATTTTATTTTTATATTCTTTTTGTTTTTTCAAATAATAAAAGAGAGGGAAAATATTATTCTCCTCCAAGAAATACAAGTCTTAATAGCGAAGAATAACAAGTATCAAATTTAATCTAGAATTTACACAATCACAATTTAATACAATGTTTATAACACTCTTCCTTGTGTGTGTAAATACTCAAGTAGATTCGGCATCATATAGAGTTGAGGAAGCTGACTCGTCGACGCTAATTCTGGGAACAAGTTAGTCTCAAAGTAAAGAAGGAACTTGCAAATGGAACTAAGTCTCACAAAAATCTCAATGGCTAGAGCAAAGTCAGATGAACCGTCTGTGGGACATCATCAAGGGTATGATCAAACCAAGGTGGGTGCCTCGTCAAAATCTCATTAGGTAGCAAAAACTCAGTGGAAAAAAGCTCCTAATCGTAGGAAAAATAGTACATTAAGATCAAGCAAGTATACTTCAAGATACTCCCCCAGAGTTTGACATAATTCCAAAGAGAACTAACAATGTTATAACTCAGAAAGTTTACCCATACCTATTCCTTGAACAAGCTTCTGAAATGTTGCCTTCAGTAGTGGTTTGATGAAAAGAACTTCGGCGCAATGTGCTTGGTGTTGTTTCCTTTAATGTAACCCTTCTTGAGTTGTTCAATGCATGCTGCATTATCTTCATAGATAGTCGTCGGGAGGTTAACGACAGGGTAAAGATTGCAAGAGCTTCGAATATGACCCACAACTGGCCTCGGCCAGAAGCATTCCCGAGTAGCTTCGTGTAAGGCGAGTATTTCAGCATGGTTAAACGAAGTGGCAACTAAGGCATGTTTAGTTTATCTCTAAGATATTGCGATGCCTTCAACAGTAAAGACATAACCTGTTTAAGAGCGTGCTTTGTGTGGGTCAGATAAGTGACCTGCATCGGCATAACCAACAAGGCTAGAATCGACTCGAGAATCGAGGGGGGTTACGGCATCACTCGAGGATTCATAAGGATAGAACAAGCCCAAATTCGTAGTACCCTTAAGGTAAGGAAGATGTCTTTAACACTAGTCTAGTGTCTACGTGTTAGTGCGTTACTGTATCTTGCCAAAAGATTAATAGTGAATCAAATGTCAGGTCTAGTGCATTAAGTTAAGTACAATAAAGCATTTATCGTACTTAGATAAGGAACTTCAGGTTCCAAAGTCTATTCATCATCCTCGTTTGAATGGAAGGGATCTCGTTTTGCATATAGCGATCGTACGACCATAGAAGTACTCGAAGGCGCAGCAGCACCTTCTGGGTGTAGTTCGATTGATGTACTAAGATTCCATCCAAATGGTATTTTATCTCGAGACCAAGACAGTATCAAGTCTTTCTCAGATCTTTCATCTCAAATTTCGACTTCAGGTGCGCAGCAGTTCTCTCGATCTCTTCAGGAGTTCCAATGAAGTTCATGTCGTCGATATAAACTGCAACAATTGCAAAACCGAAATGTGACTTCTTAATGAACACGCAAGGGCATAGTTCGTTGTTCACATATCCCTGACTAGTCAAATACTCACTCAAGTGGTTATACCACATTCTTCTGGATTGCTTCAAATCGTATAGTGAACGCCTTAGCTGAATTGAGAGCATGTTCCGAGGTCTAGAACTTTTTAATCCAGTCAAAGTAAGTCCTTCAGAAACTTTCATATAAATTTCCGTATCAAGATCCTCATAGAGATATGCAGTTACTACATCCATCAGCTACATACTCAGTTTTTCAGAAACTACCAAACTGATAAAGTAGCGAAAAGTAATCACATCCATAATGGATGAATAAGTTTCGTCATAGTCGATCTCACAGCGATATGAGAAGCCTTGCGCAACAAGGCAAGCTTTGTAACGCACAATTTCATTCTTCTCATTATGCTTCCGAAACGAAAACCCACTTATAGTCAACGAGCTTTATATGTGTAGAAGTAGAAGCTACAAGTCCAAACACCTTACTTTTCACAAATGAATCGATTTTGACTTAGATTGCTTGTTTCTAGTTTGACCACTCAGTTCTACGTCGACATTTATCAACGGAATAGAGTTTAATGTCATTGCACAACATGATCTCAGTAGTTATTGCATATGCTAATGTATCGTCAATTATCATCTCATTTCTACACCAGACATCATCCAAACTTGCATAATGGACTGAAATCTCATGATTCTTGGGAGGTGGATTCGCCTCTTTAAGAACAGTTCCGTAATCTAGAATTTACCTCATGAGTTAGATAGAATAAGTAAGCGACAATTGGATTCATGGTAAGCTTAACAG